GTAGCATGATCCCAAACCTTTGATCCCCATAGAACCATTTAAGAGTTATAATCGAGCTAAAACCATACAAAAAGGTTTAATGTTCATAGATGAGTTTATATATTAATTAGGTTGAGATTAACGTACTTTTAGCATTAAACAAACCTACAAAGATTCACATTTTAAATTTTTACATTTTTAGGGGTGAGATTACCACTCGTCAACACTTCTGGGGTGGTTGTCACTTTTAGGATGGGGTTAACAATTTTTGGGGTGAGATTACCACTTTTTGGGTAAGGTTACCACGATTTAGGGTGTGCTTACCACATTTTTGGATAAAATTATCACTTTTTTTGAGTGTGGTTACCACTTTCTCGAGTTTGGTTTGGCACATTTTAGGATTTCATTAGCACATTTTGGGGTGAGCTTACCACTCTATGGGATGAGATTATCACTTTTGGGGTGTGGTTAGTACGTTTTGGAGGTAAGATTACCATTTTTTTGGGTTTGGTTAGCATGTTTTGGGGGTAAAATTATAACTTTTTGAGGATGAGGTTTTCACGTTTTGAGGTAACATTACCACCTTTTCGGGTTTGACTATTACATTTTGAGGTGAAATTACTATTTTTTGAATGTGGTTAGCACATTTTCAAATGAAGTCACGAGTTTTTGCAGAGTCGTTACCACTTATTAGGTGCAATTGCGATGTTTTGATGATGCAATTTTTTAGGACATGATTTAGCAAGATTTAGAATCAACTATGGCGACAAAGGCAAACTATGATCGATCCATTATAAATTAAGATATAAGCCATCGATAATAGGAACTTACCCCATTTAATTATTGGGATCCAACAACCAATAGTATATCAATACACATATAGATCTAATCCCAAAACATTCTCTCCTAATTTATGATCGATCATCACAAAATATGTAATTTCTTTCGATTAACATTCAATTCATAAAATTGATATCAAATTAACATTCAACTAATAAAATTAATATTCAACTTCATTCAATTAGCAATCAATTCAATTTAGCGGCGTTACTAACATAGAAATCTGCACAACTCCAAGACAAATAACTTTTTCGAATTAAAGATTTTTCCAATAAAGAGGTAATTTCTTTCTTATAAAATTTTAAGTAATTTTTATTCATTTGTGTTGGCCTAACCTTAGTCGGAATATCTTTTTTTATTAAATTCTTTGATATAGGGTAGGGTTACCACATTTTTTTTCCTATTCCAAAAAGCAGTAGGAACTGTATCATATACTTCCCTAATTATCTTATTTTTAATTTCTTTTATTTTTTGCTAAGTTTCAGGAGAATTAAGCTTATTAGATACACTCAAGATTTTTATATCTTCTTTTAAAAAGTTTAATTGATTTTCTTTATAAATCAAATTTTCTTTTATTTGATGTGGAGTTATAAACTCAAATAATATTTGTTAACCATTTATGGTAGTCAAAATTTCTTTAGAATCAATTCTTTTTATAGGTTCGATTAAATATAAGAATGGTGTTCCCAAAATCACTAATTGATTTAAATTATTAATAAGCATAAAAGTTGTAGGAATACAAATTTCTTGATTACATACAAAAACACTAGAGTTTAAAATTTGTATTTAATTTTGAACCATCAGCAGTGTTTACTGACTGAGTAGTTTTCTCAAAATATTTAGTTGGAATTAATCTTGCTTTTATGCAATTTATATCTACCCCATTGTCAATTAAAGTAATAGTTTCAACAGTAAATTCAGAATTTATGACTAATATGATTTTAACATACCATTTTTGATAAGTTATTTTTTTCTAATACTTTTAAGTATTCATTATTAGAAGAGTGTGATGGTGATGCTTTTATGTCATCTTTAATGCCACTTTTTTTAAGTGACAATTTTTCTAAAGCTAAGAGTCTAACCTTTATGACTTTTATATCTTTTTTAACAATGTGTCATATCACTTTCTGTTCTATTAAAGATTTTTTTTAAGGAATACAATTGAGACAAATTAGGTCTCTTATTTTTGGATTTATCTCTAAATATTATTCAATAACTTTTCTTTTAGAATCTGGATCTTGAATTTTATCTATAAGTTCAAGAATAAATGTTTGTGACTAGTCAAAATATTTATACTCAATTTTTTCATAGCTAGAATAGTTTTTTTATAATAGCATGTAGATGCAACATGTCCAATTTTTTCACACTTAAAGCATTTGATAGACATTTTGTCATTTTCTTTAAATAAGTTAGTGGGTTTGGTAAGCTCTCTCTCTTTATTGACTTCGTCTTTATCATTCTTCCTTTTATATAAAAGCTAGTTTGAATCTTATGTCAGAGATGCAATAGTTAAAGTGTTATCTTGTAATTTGTCATCAATTAATTTATTAATTTGTTGAGTTTCAGGTCTATATGTTTGAGAAATATTATTTAATATTTTCTTGAGTTTATTTATAAACTCAGCATCTTCAATGTTTGGATAATTAAAATTTATTTTTTCAGAAATACAAAACTCTTTTATTTCATTTAACTGATTTGTATTAGGAGGAACATAATATGTTAGAAACCAATTAAAAAAGAAATTATCTTTTTTTTTCCTTTTTATATAAAGGTAAAATATTTTTTTTATAATTTTGAAGTTCTTCCGAACTCATTGTTTTAAAATACTAATTTCTAAATTCTTCATATTTAGGAAGATGAAATTCTTTATTACAAGTTTTGTTTATCAACTGTAATTCTCTTGAGTGTAAATCCATAGAAATTATAGTTGAAATTCGATTTCGGATGAAGTTAGATTAAAGTTTTCCTGTAAGAAAGATTCATTATCTGGTCTATATATATTATGAGAAATATTATTTTTTAAAAGTTTAATTCCTTCAATTATAAGTTCTTTATCTCTTCTTCGATTTTGGACAAAAGAAGTAGAGATCTTCTAAAACAGGTATAATAACCTGATGAAATTTCTGATTTATCAGAATATTTTAAATAATTTTTAGAATTAGTTCTAGCAAATTTTATCGTAATATCATCATGAGATGATTGGACGATCTGAGTTATTTCTTCATTTATCTCTAGTTTTTTAGGAACCACAGACTCTAATTGTCAGATTTCTGGAAATTGAATTTCTGGCTATTTAATAGTTTTAGGGACTTAAATTTATTTTTAATTATATTTTTTTCAATTAAAATTGTTTGACTTTTAAAATTAAGAAATTTAGCTTTAGGACATAAAGTATTCATGTGCTTCAACAACTAGAAGACATGATAAGTTTCCAAATAACTTCATTGTGATCTCTATCTTCCATTTTTGTCGATGTATGACTTTCTTTTTGTCTTGTATGTTTTATTTTTATCACACACTCTTAAAGGAAGGGAACGATTTTCTTTATTTTTTTTTGGAAGGGAATGATAAAGTTTGATCCCACAACTTTAAGGTCTAACAATGGAATGACGACTATTAGGCCAATCACTAAACCATATTTATGTTCTATGTTAAGTGGATTTAATTTATATTTCACCTAGTGTGGAATATAACCATGAATAGTTCTATGTTCTATTCTTTTTAACTGCAACAGTGAACTTCTAAGTCATCTATACCCATTACGATGTTGGACAAAGTGAGATTGTATGATTGCCATGGGAGCTGCTATGTGTTAGGACGGTACTCTAGAGTCATAAGAACAACATGCCCACATACGAGAAATAATGTTCGTGCGTATCAACAAAACTACAAATATCTAACTGTCTTATAAACCTCGACAATAATCAAGGTAAATAATATGGCGAGCTAATAAGTTTTGCAAAGATATTGTGGCAGAAGTTAGGTACGATCCAAGAAGTGATATATGGAAAAACACACAGCCGGTGAAATAAACAAGCTAAAGAAACAGCCGACCCCTTAAACTAAAGGGAGGGAGGAAGATAGTGAGAGACACCAACACCATTGATGGTTTGGAAGGTGGAAAGGGATGTGGGAGAAACCGAGACAAAGAGATGGTCGCAGAAGGGTAAGACCACGAACCAAAAAAAAAAAAAAATCAATATCGTACCGTTAGATTTTATGATTTTTGTAGGTTGAGATGAAGTTTTTGAGTTTGTATATGTCAAAAATAATTTACAATCTTTTGGGTAATGTTACAATTTTTAGGATTCAAATCACTATTTTTAGGGGTTAAGTTAGAACTTTTAAGGGTACTTTGAGGTTGATTTAAAAAAATTATAAATAATCTTCAAAATTTGTAAAAGAAATTCGCAAAACTCAAACATAACGATACAATATCGATTTTTTTTTCCTCTTAGGGTAGTGTTCTCCGTCATCATAAATATGGTGGAAAAAAACCACAATTTTTTGTCGAGCGTTCGGCATCAAGGTAGACAAGATCAACAATTAGAATCAATTCAATAAAATATCATATGACATTGTCCCGTGGCATGCACATTCAATCAAAAATTACCACAAAATTAATTTACGGGATATACAAGTTTTTTTCAAAAATAAATCTGACAAAGTGATATGTATCCCTTATTTAGTAGGATTGTACAGTCTTTATTGGTGATGTATATCAAATCCCTCCAAATTAAATTAAATTTATAGTATTCACAATAGGCCACTTTCGGTGGTCTATATGTGACCTTTTTTCAGCAGCAGTCAAATCCGGTGGGCTAATGTGTGACAATGATATAATAATCATGGAAAACTCTTCGGTGCCAAAAAAAAAAAAAATTGGTATCAATTAGTATTTTATATGATGAAATTACAACTTTAAATAGAAAAATTTTAATTGTTCAAAAGATGTCATGATTGATCTCGGACATTCATGATTGATCATAAAAAATATAGTATCGATCACAATATTTTATGATCGATCATATCCTCTGAACTTTTAACTTATATTTCAAAAAAATTATAATTTTTGATACCGATACCACCCACGGTACAACTTACCATGAATCATACAAGTTATTCAAATATGATAGGGTTAGTAATTAACCAGGCCCCTACAACAAAAAGAGGGAACACACCTTTAAAAGGTTCAGATAAATCCTGTGTGTCCTCAAGGTTATATTATTGATCAACTTTGATGGTACATACATAGCTGCTTCTATTTCCTTTTTCATGGAGTTTCTCTCTCTTCCTAACCCCCACCACTATTTATGAACATATCAGCTTGGCCTCATTTTGAAGAGCTTTCTCATATATAGCCTCTCTTCTTGTTCTCTGTAGCAAAGGCACATATATATATACAATAAGCCTATGCCCTTAATTTCTGTTAAGAGTTATTGCCTTCCATAAACATGAAGACCATAGACCTCTTTTGTGCCTCTCCAGCATCCACAGCCATATGCTCGAGCATGGATCATCGTAGCATTATCCGCCATGGCACGAGACCAATCGATCATGGTCATCATCATCATAAGCAGCAGCAGCAGCAGCATCATCATCATCATCTGCGTGATCGAAAAAACCGAGCTCTTGTGCCTTGTTCATCTCAACCACCCTTTGATCCTAAGCCCAATTATTATCAAACAAGTAGAAATAGTACTTCTTCCAAGCAAAGTGAAGTAAGAAGAAAAAGTTCAGCAGACATACTTGACCTTTCTAGCCAACCTCCTGGTTCCTCCTCTAGGCACCTTTTAAGTGACACACCTTTTATAGGTTCTGATCATTTCTCTGCGTTGGTTCATAAAAGCCAATCTGTGAGACCTCAGCTCTTGCTCTCAACAAATGATTCTCCTGCTAATTCTAAATCTTCAAAAACTGGCTCTAATTACTCTCCTGCTTTGAAATCTTCATCAACTAGCTCATATGATTCTCCTTTAATGGAATCTTCTTCAACTCACAGTCGCCCATGCAATCAGGTTCCTCTCTCTCTCTCTCTCTCTCTCTCTCTCTCTCTCCTTTCTTTTTCCAATGATTTCATAATAATGTCATTCATAGCAAAACTGGTTTTACAATTAGTTTCTTGCATGCAGCAACTTAAAAATGTGACCCAATGACGTGTCAACCGATAGAGTTCTAATGAAAAAGTTTAATTGTTATAATTACAATAATATTGTTTTAGACCATGTCATTATCATATCATTATGTTAGTAAATTAAATTACTTTTCTAAATCCCAGTAGTATTACTCTTATTCTTAATGAATGTGATTATGCTCTTAATATCATGTGTTCTATTGGGCTTTGGAGGTTGTGGAATTGAGGGTATCTATCCATTGCAAGGGTTGTGAAGGAAAAGTGAGAAAACATATCTCCAGAATGGAAGGCAAGTACTTTAGTTCTGTGTACCATTTTTATTTGGGTTATGATAAAGCTTTTTCTTTTCAAGTAATTTAAGCTACTTTTTTTTATAATCAAAAGCATAAATATTTAGGTGGATTGCCATTTTTTTTTTCAATGGGAATCGTTTAAACCATGCATTTTTTTTTTTTTTGCATAATTCATGATACAAAATCATTCATTAACAAATACATCAGTTATACCTATGTTTTATGTTGCTAATAAGCTTCAAACTCAAAAAATTATAGTTTTACGTCTCATCTCTCGTTCAACAACTGAACTATCAAATGAAACGGACACATTTGGATGTATATGTTTGTGCAGGAGTGATCTCCTTTAGTATAGACTTGGCCACAAAGAAGGTCACAGTGGTTGGGGATGTGACCCCTTTAGGGGTACTCACAAGCGTCTCAAGGGTGAAGAATGCAGAATTTTGGCCATCTCCGACTTCATCATCATGGTCTCCAATGGCTGGCCTGAGACACTAATGGCTTTCAAGAACTTTTTTTTTGAGTTTCTTTTAGCGATGTACTGAATTATTTTGAAATTCCAGTAGGGTGAAGTTTAATGGCTAGTCTTGTATGATGTGTACTGTAAATGTAGAAATACTAATACTCCGTTTGGTACGATGAAAAAAATAGAAGGATGAAAAGTTAAAAGGATGAAAAGTTGAACAAATAAATAAAACATCATGTTTGATAAGAAAAGAAAAAGTAAGATGGATGGAAAAGTAGATGAATTAATTTTTCTTCAAACTCACTAAAATTAATTTCTCCAAAATCAGAAGGAAAGTAGATGGAAAGTTAATTATTTGTGTTGAGATGTATCTTATTTATCTATATATATTATGTATACATTAATTTCATATAAAAATATAATGATAAAATATATATATATATATATATATATATATATATATATATATATATATATATATATATATATATATAAATAAAAAATAAAAAATAAAAAATTTAAATTAAAAAAATATAATTTTTCATCTTAACTAGAGGTGAAAATTTTCGACTCAACATGGTGATATGACTCAAACTCGAAATAAATTTTATGACACAAACTTGAAAATGACCTGACAAGCGAATAAAAAATATAAAAGATTCATAATTTTATGACTCAACATGAATCTGACACGACATAACTCGATTGTCAACTATAACTTTAGTCATCACAAAAAAAATTAAAAAAAAATTAGTTATTTTTATTTTTCATTCATCTAACCAAACACAAAAAAGAAAAATGTATCATTTCTACTTTTTATGTTTAAATGAAAAAAAATATATCTCTTCTACTTTTTATCATCTTTTCTATTAAACAGATCATAAGAGATACTATGATAGTCATCTTTCCATATATTATTCAAAAGAATGTAAAGTAAAAGAGATGGTTTGGTTCCCATGTGCTCTTTGGTCATCATTTCTTGGAGCATGCAATGTTGACTTTTGCTTGTTTCCCTTTTAAATTTAACAACTTAGCTTTTGCTATCAAGTATTGATTGAGTCAATTCTTTCGGGTTTTGATGTATTTAGGCTTTACTCGAGTTGGCTCGAACTTGGTTGCCAAATTTGCACTTTTGTTGATCAAGTTTAACTTGTTATTGATTATATACTCATAATATACGATTGTGTTCATCTTGTTTAGTTCTATATATTCAAATTGAATTCAAGTTCGACTTAATCCAAATACTACACATGACCATTAGAGATTGATCATCTGAAGTGAGACGAAACTTTAAAAGGTGAAACTCAACCAAACACAACTGTTCGTTGAGATTCATATAAATAAGATTCAATGGTATCACCTCTTTCAGAGTTGGTCCTTTCAAATGTTAACTTTTGTAAATTTGCAATTCCTTGATTTTCTTATTTCAAAGGTTTAATCAGATGGTTATAATTTTTTTCTCTAATTTCTTACTATATGCAAGATGATACAAGACATCCTGACACAATTGCGGAATCAACTAATCCAATGCACGTAACATCATGATGACCCCGAAGCATTGAGTACCATACATATCTCATGCATTATTGAGTAGTGGACAGGTCATGTTTAAGCAATAATATGACAGCATGCATGTACATCATGATGATATGTGGAGACATATGGGTCTGCATGCGGCTGGCAATGGTCCTCACTCAAGGACATGTTCAGCTTATGGGTTGGGATTGCGATAGAGGCATGACATACTTTTTCCCCTCTGCTTTTTTTTTTTTTTTTAAAGTTAAAAGTGAAAGTCATCTCAATTATTTATTCTTTGAATTCGTGTTTAGAATGTAAATTCGAGATATATGTTAAATAGCCCTAAATAATGAAAAATATTGAGTCAACCATAATGTCTCTCGGGACCACAATTAACATTTCTCTCTTTGTTTGGTTATGGGGTGTGTGATTATTTGCTTGTTTTTGTTTTTTTTTGTCATCATTTTATAAATATTTTTTTGTTTGGAAAGGACATACATAGGACTCGTTTAGAATTGACTTTTTTATGTGAAAAGTTACGATAAAAATCTTTGCAAAAAAAAAATCAAAGTTAAAAAAGTTTAAAAAAATTGTTTGCGGTGTTTTTTAAAAAATTGAAAAAGTTAAAAAAGTCGGTTTGTAGTGGCTTTCTAATTTTTTTTGGTTTTTTGTGTCAAAATAAAAAATAATAACTACATGTATGTACAGATTATACATAATACTTTCTAAAAGATAAATTTTAATTTTTTTTGTCACTAATAAACTAAAAAGTTATGTGAGACCTACGGAAAAAACTCCAAAAAGTTGGAAGAAAAATTCATAAAATCAATCTTTTGAATCAGTCTAAATAAGATTTTTTTTTGTCCAAAAAATTGTTGCATAAGTTGGTAAAAACCAACATCCAAATGAATAGAGTTTATTTTACTCCAAAACTCTTAAAAGCTATCTATTTAAGCTAACTCCAAATAGACTCATAATCTAGCGAAAAATACCATGGTGTACATACATAAGAGGCAATCACACTAAAAAATAGCACCCGAATATATCAAAGCATCCTTAAATCAATTGGGTCCAAGACACATCCATTGATAGAATTACCATTGTATGGGTGATTTCTCGCACAATAGTAAGATAGCAACACTTTAGTTGATGCTCAATGGTAGCCTTGTGGTGTGAGTGTGACGAAAGACCATAGAATTACAGAAAATGGAGGTCGGAAATGTCTTCGATGATTTTTCTCTGATGCTTAAGTCATTTTTGAGGAGGGAATAAGACAATGTTTAGTATTAGGGTAGAGGATATGTTTTGCACACCTCTTTCATTCGACTAAGAGTGCTATTTATACCTCTTTGAGAGATGAGTGTCTCTATTGAGGAAACTTCATATGATTCCCTTAGCGGGAGGCTTTCTGATTGGTTAATTCCTGGGACAGCAAGGATGTCTGGTTAACTTTGTCAGGTGGCTATTCATCGAGTATGATTTTCTTATAACCTTGATCCCTGACTCTTTTATGCACGTTCACAAGATACGTATTAATGACATTAATCTTTCGACATCTAAGTCTTTGACGATCGTTAATTGCAAGATTTGATATTGAAGAACTTATCTTGCAGTAATAAATGTCTAGCGCTATTTGGCATGCCGAAGGATAGAGTAATGCTACATGAACTTAAAAATTAGACTTGATAATTACAATGAGTAATGCTAGATGGACTAAAAAACTAGACTTAAAAATTAGACTTGATAATCTCAACCATTGAATAGGTAGTGGGTCCTAATAAATACTGGAACCCACAGTTAAATCAATGATTGAGATTATCAAGTCTAATTTTTAAGTCTACCTTTTAAGTCCATATAGCATTACTCAATTACAATTATTGATTTTACTGTGGTTCTAGTATTTATTAAGATTGACTATCTATTTAATGATTGAGATCATCAAGTATAATTTTTAAATTTATTTTTTAAATTCATTTAACATTATCGGAAGGACAAATGCTTCGAACCCATTCTCCTGTAGGCATTAATTATCCGCTGTGTGCCCATAAGAAGCATTTATTACATGTTATAAACTTTCCCATGATCGGCTATAGTGTGTCCGCATGTCTGATCTGATAGCAGGGATAATGGACTTATGCTTGCTGACAATCGGTACCGGACCTCAATAAAAATTTTAAATAATATATTATCATATTATTTAGACATTAAATTTGATAAAATTTAATCAACATAATATTACTGTATCGTTATTACTTTTCCACCAAATAACGTTACATGTCCATTTCTGACTGATCTGACACATCATGTGCGGTCAACCATAAAAATGGAGACTTTTTCAGTAGAGGGGAGGTGAACTGATCAACTTGCTATCCATTCATGTTCAAAACCGTTCAATTCTCTAACGACTATGATATTGTTCCTATTCAATTCTATATCTTGTCTTACAAAACATGTAAACTAACTCTCTTTTTTCGGCTACGTTTATTTCATACAAATGTTTCACATTTACCCAACATTCTATTATGCAAGAAAATAACTTAAATGATTAATAGCTATGTTTATAAAACATGCATCTACAGTAAGATCACCTTCTTACCAAGTTCACTATTCTTATAAACCTCAAGCAACATTCCCCCTTATATAACCACCATTCTAATGTCATATCGGGAAACAACTTTGACCATGTTTTTTACCTTTCGATACATTCCTTCACTCTACAACTTCCAGACATAGGCCAAACTGATCGATCATAAAATCATAAATTTCACCTCCTCACCAGAAGCCTGAAAAACATGATTATAATGACAGAAACAGTTACATGCACAAATAGGAAGAGCATCGAGGAACAAAGGTGTACAGCGTCTCGTATACAAAAATACTGCTGCCCGTTGGTTTAAGAAAATGACTGGTGTAGAAAAGAAAAAGAGGGAAATTTAAAGCCATGCATCAAAATTATCAGTCCATACGCTGCAACATCAGAACTATGTCAAAAGGGAAAAATACCATGTAGGGGTGTCGAATAATGGACATATTGCAGATGTTGCTCCCGTGGTCACGGGAGAGCTGAAGTCGTACGTGTGTGGGATGCTCTTCCAGCTCTCTCCAAGTGCTGGCTTGAGAATACCGCGCTCTCCAGCACCATATGATTAGTCACCTTAAGTACATCATTCACAGTTAGATATTAATAAGCATCTGCATTGTACAATAAGACATAATTTGTATTTACAAAAAGTAATGCTTGAGTAAGAATTGATCCATGGTATTCCTGTTACGTCTAGAGCATAGTGTACAAAGGAAGAGATCATACTATTCTTTTAGGAAGAAGAGATCATATTATCTATCAGACAAGACAATGCAACTGTAATTTTAAGTGCAAAACCTACCAATACAGCGACGTTATACTGTTGTTATGTGCAAATTACATGGAGCTTTTAAGCAAAAAAAAGAGATAGTCACAAATAGTCAGATAGCTGTTATGTGCACACAAGTAGACGCACTATATGTACCATTGCCTCCAAGAATTGGGCTGATAAGCGATGAAATTGAATCAACAATAAGTAGCCGCAGCTGCGAACCTTTCTGCATTCAAAAAGGCTCTCCAATTTCTAGTAGAATGTAACCAAGAAATCTAACAACACAAAAAATAAAGGAT